CATATGGTCACTTGGTATGGCAGATCAAACGAAATATTTTACTATATTACAGGACAGAATTTTATTTAGCTTGCCCTACAGAAATGAAAACAACAATAAAAATTAATTGGCGCTCCGGGGCGACTTCATTGATTCCAGTGGCGCATTTGCTTTTTCAGCTGCAGGAAAACCAGGAAACACCTGCAGCACCACATCATCTGAAGATCTTGATCTACCAACGTCCTCTCTCTTACAAAACAGAATGTAGGGTGTCTCCAGAGGCTCCAATAGATTCTATGCATCGCCAGAACACTTCGTGACACGACTATCGTCAAACTTAAACCAGTTCGTTTCATCTTTGGCCAAGGCGTAATAATGACCAAATTCAACGCCAGAACCACAGTGAACAATGACTGCATGTATATTATAATAGTGGTCTGTTAGATTGGGAGGTTCATCTATTTCGAACCTTCCAAAGAGTTTCTTGCTTCCGTCAGAGGTTGAGTCTTGTTAGAAGATCATCAGTGTTATTATTAGATTGACTGGTGCCTCAACTATACTTGTTTCCTCATAACAGTCAGTTAGTTTGGGGCATGTTTGCCAATACAGTCAATCATCACCTGTCAAAAATTCCATTTTCATTACATGAAACTGGAGTTGATGATTTGAAATGGGACCACACCTTACTTATATGATGAAAAATCTGAAGTATTTGGTCCACATGGGAAAAACTTCAAAAGTGCAATATGTCAAGTTGAAAAACTGAATGCCACATACGAACAAAATGGAAAATACTACAACAGTCTTTGCAAACAATCTATCAATGTGCTATATTGCTTCTACTCAGCCACAGATCAGAAATTGGGAAAGATTAGGTAGATTGCCGCTCGGCCGAGCAATCAGCAAGTATTCTGCTTGAATGTAGCAATTTGTGCATATAATGCTCAAAAGCATGTGTATTCAGTAAGAACACACCGATAGCATTGGAAATTCAAGTACAAAACTCCATGAAAAAATTCAAGAAAGGAGTTGAAGGAAGGAATTTTTGGATGGTAATCAAACTACATGTTGTGAATCGAATTATCAAAGATTGGCAGAGGATATGAGCACGACAGATACAGAAAGATATAACTACGAACTTTAACCAATAATTGAATCATGGGTTGAGAAAATGCATGACAACTTCATTCATAAGCAACCATGGAAAATTTGTAGGGCATCTTTTGGGATTGGAAAGAGACACAGTCCAGATGTTAACATAGGTGGAACCTACAGTGTAGGGAGTTGAGACTGACTTGAACAAATTGTTCTTTTAGATTATTTGATTTACAGCCAGATTTACAGATTCACTTCACTGATTTACTAACTCGCAGTTGCGCCGCTAGCCCTCTTATATGCAATTATTACTGCCATCTCGAGGTGATCGAAATACACTAGCTAGAACCAGAACTTTCTCGAACCAACGCGGTAATTTTAAATTTATACATTTATACAACAACTATTAGCATTGAGTAATTTGTTCTTAATTTCAGATGAGATGAAGGAGAAAGAAGTAGAAATCATGCTGGAAAAAAGCAGTGACCTAAATTCAGCTTGTAACTGCATGCCGCTCTGTACAGATCTCACTTACGACGTTGAAACAGCTCGAACAAAATTTCTTTGGAGAGAGCAGTTTAGAGCAGAGAAAAAGGTCGCTGAGGACTTAGATTCGCAGAAAATCAACGTTTCACTGATGTAAGTTGCAGTACTAGTTGCTGAATCAATAAGCCATGCAATAAATATTGCCAAGAAATATTTTTGTTTGAAGGTGATTGACAATGTTTCATGATGAATTTCACTAGTACGGACTTCCATTGTCTACTATATAAAATGATTTGAAATCCCTAAGTTGGAAATAACAGTTTCGTACACAGCATCCTAGTAATTCCATAATTACTTCTATAGGTAGATTCGTTCTCTCTTTCAGGTTTCCGTCTTCGGAAAGCTTTCTTTGTGTGACTTGGAGTGCTTCTTCGACCGGAACGTTGGTGTAAAGGCTTTCCACGTCGGAACGAATTAGTTGATCTTCCTGTGTAACCTCAATTGACCCTAGTAGTTCGACAAAATGCCTTGAATTCTTCACAAAAGACGCAACATGGAACATCCTATATATTTTCACTTATTTCGATCGAGAATGACATTCTAAATCCAACAATACTTCACTTGTCAATATTTGACAAATGAAGTCATTTTTATTCCAATTTATATTTTTTGTTCTAGAATGCCATGGATCGTGTAAATCGCTTCATTCTTGATCAAGTAACATGGGAAAACTACGACTTTGAGGCTTATGACTTCACAGTAGTTTCAAGGATCATTTTACAGTCGCAACTATGATTTTTCCCAGTTAACTTGATTTTCTCAAATTTGATGCCACACAATTTCACTATATTTTTTCTATTTTCCTGAATTATTGCAAGGAACGATCATACCAAATAACAAATAATACGTATAAGGTATACATATGCACTAAGTCCTGGTATTCTAGTTACCCGTGACAAACAATTGAAGCTATTGCTAGGACTACCTAAACAAATAGGCTAATGAACATGCTGCCACTTTTTAAAATTCATTTGTTGTGTAGTAATTAGATATGGAAAATTATATCCGAAACAAGAAAATTGACATGATGCTAATTTACGAAGAAACAAAAAGAATGCAAATAATGCAGCTCTTATTTATGCTCAGAGGTTCCCTAATCGTCGATATTCGTTATATATATGGAATTAGGAAGTATGAACATGTGTCCCACAAGCTTGCGGAACTGAACTGGTTTAACATGAAAGATTTCAAATTTCATTCATTATGTTTATTTCATAAAATTATGTTATACAGAAATCGGCCTTATTTATATCGTAAAATAACATTCAGGACAGACGTACACAACATAAATTTGAGAAAAAAAAATGTAATCACATGTCCACAACACAAGATCGCAATTTTCCAGAGAAGTTTTTCGTATTCGATTTTTCATCTTTATAATTCTATTCCCGATTCGCTAAAACACCATAGTAATTTTTATAAATTCAAAAAAGAGCTTAAAAGTTTTCTGCAAGTTAACACATCCTGATGCATTTCTCTTTCGTATACCCCTTTTTTTTATAATCTGTGTTTGACAAGTAGTCATTTTTCGTTATCTTCCATATAACTTTTTTTTTTCATTTTGTTGTTGGTGGTGAATATTCAGGTGACCTAACAAATGACAAATGTCAAATGGCAAAAAATTGTGAAATAAAAATTTAGGTTTTGGGATTAGTTAGGTTAGTTTTCAAGTTATAATATGCTTATTTAAAATAGCAAGGGTTGAGTGGTAGAGCACCCTCGGGTGAACTTCCCCTTGGGATTTTTGTGTAACAAGATGAATATCATGTATTTTATTTTTCATTGGAAATAAAGACATTATTATTATTATTATTTCTACAGGACTTCAGTTTCTATCTCGATTTTCAATATCTTGATCAATATACGAATTTTCCAGGAATACACCTTTATAAAAATATACTATGTGACAAGACTAATCATACTGATTGCTGTTGTCTTTCGAAATATTCCTCAGAATATATTTACTATTTTTTTCAGGCATTTATCGAGATTATCAGTTTACTTCATGAAAGATCAATTTCTGGAATCACAGCGAACAGAACTCTACGGCCCATTCGACTTTCTAGCAAATTTTGGAGGATTACTGGGTCTCTTCACCGGATTTTCAGTACTTTCGGCTGTAGAAATTGTTTATTACCTGACCGTGCGATGGTACTTCAACAGAGTACTCTATGATGATTTCGCAGGATTGTAATATTTATATATTGATTAATATGTATGTAGAAGATGTATGTCATTTGTTCCACTGTAACATCAGTATGTTTGTAAGATTCAGCCGGTATTTGATGAAGATCCATATTAATTTCACAAACTACACCAAAAACTATATGATCTTCACAAACTTCATTTTTAAATAATATATCACGACATGTTTCGCTATCACAGAAGCTCATTCATAGCAACCAGCTTCATAGGACCAGAACCTGTCATTGGAATCACTTTAGGCTTTGCCAAACAAATATTCAACACCTGGATGGCAAGAAGATTCATGTACTTCTGGCAGAATCTTCCAGGATTGGCTCACTCCAGGGCGTTTATCCAACCTTTGAAGCTTGATACCAAACAGTTGTTGGACTACAGTAGGGATGAACTACGATGTCTAACAGGCCTTCTTACAGGTCACTGTCATTTTAATCATCATATGCAGAGACTCGGACTGTCAGAAGACAGTAGTAGATGAACAATGTATGTTCTGGCTCACCGGGAGTGGGGCCAACCTATCAACTCCCTTAGTGCTCCGCCCTCGGCCCCCTTAATACTCCACATTACCACTCAGGCCCCCTTGCGACTCTTCCTCACCCCACAGCCCCCTTGTCACGTTCCAGTCACGTTATTTTAATTTAAAAAAGTTTATAGTTATGATATTCGAACCTGGATCGTCCGCGCGGCAGACATTGTCCTTAGCCTCCACACCAACGTAAGATATTGAAGGTAACTGCGAATGTTGGGTGTTTACAGCGTTAGTTTTGTCGGGACCGAAATTGACTCATTCATTATACTCGACAGCATTTCCGTAGACTGTAATCATCATTATCATATTGAAGATAGGAAAATATACTTGGATTTGGGAAATAATTGATATTTCATGTAAGGATGTGTAAGTGTGTGTAAGAGCGAGAGACGCGTGTGACGTAATCGATGCAAAGAGAGATGGAAATGGTATCGAGATTTACCGGTTGCTGGCGCAAGCAGGTGTTGCCGATTGTACAATAAATCATTGTTTATGAACCTTTTGATCACTTTATATTCAGATAATACTTACTCCATTGTGAGATTTTCACTGAACAGTTCACGATATGTCATTACTTACCTCAGTACGGTGGCCCGAGCAAAGTTGCAACTTCAGCATATGAATCTTCATAAATATTGAAGTTCATCGACAGAAAGTAATGAGATATTCATTTAATATTCATTGATCACTCTTCAGAAACAGTTCCAGAGCATTTTTTAGAATGCAGCACACCTCCTTTCGTTCGATCCTGCTGGGTAGCAGTATAATGTGAGTTTTTTGGTAAATCTTTGTGTATTTTCCTTAACTATTCAATGTCAGTTCATTCCTGAACGTATTCGTCTCGTTTTTTTCCTAATAAATATTTCGTCAACAGCCATCTTGGGTTCAAACAGGTTAGAGCCTGGCTCCCTTACCCTTTGGACTGATGTTCGTCAGGAAGACAAACGGGTCAAAACTGATTTTATGGGATGACGGCATGAATGTCCTCGGACATCAGTGCCGCCCTTCACGTGGACTCCTACATGGCTGGGGTGTTTGGATGAAGATATTGTTCATCTTTTAACGGGGGGCATGAGGGCCTCACTCGACAGAGTGTCTGGACCTTCTATATCGTGAAGGGTCGTCTACAGCATAATCCATAGCTTCCCTAACTGACGATAACAAATATTTCATTAGGTTTGCGGTGGGGGTCGTGAAGATCAAAACGTTTTCGGTGTAGTTTGTGAAAATAGAACATACAATTTCAGAAATGCGGGATTTGAAAAATGTATTGAAAGACATTTCTTCAATCCATAACGACGGTTGATTCGTTCTACTCAAATTGACTAACTGTTCGTATAGTTGTTCGAACAAAAAAGCAAGTACAAATAAATGTTTTCCAATGTTTCTGGGTCTTTGAATATGCCAAGTTGATAAACTTGAAAATTATTTGTACATTCAGTGATTTATGAATATTTGATTATCATATCTGGCTTTTCAGCTATTGTTACCCCAATTAACGACTAGTATACCTATCATTCATCTGCACATGTAATGGAAGTCATCATTTTGGGTATCATGTTTATTGCTGATGTGAAATTACTTTCGAATAATTCCACCAATAGGTAGTTCACAAGATTTTGAGTCCACATATGATAATAATGGAGGAAATGTCTATTTTCCCAATCTCACTCGTGATATTCGGTAGCATTTTGAAAGTAATTAATGCTATATTTATGAGATATTTGTGAGCGAAAGTGGCAGTAGCTAAACGACAGACGATTCCAACTGTTAAGAAGGTTTCTACCATAAATTTGGCACCGTCATGAAACTTGAACAATGAATACTTTTGAAGAATTGGACCAAGCATTCTTTTGAACTTATAATAGCATAATTTATAGATTAGTCAATATTTCTCTTTCAATAGATAATTTTAATAAAGAACTCAACATCATTAATCAGATTGCAGTGAACAACGGCTTCAAAGCTGAATTATCACACAAAATACTTTTCAAACGTGTGCTATTGATAAGTTAGATAATCAAAATTGAAATTATAGATCTTCAACATATTCTGGACGGAAAACAGAAAAGTGGCTCAATTTTTTAATGAAGACGATATTGAAATTTCATATTGAATAGGTACTAGGTTGGTAAAGTTAGTCAAAAATAATAAAGACAAAGCACCGAAATTCGAGAAATCAGGAGTATATAAATTGAATTGTGACACTCAAAACTCACACCATCATCAGTCAACCTCTACAGTCACTCTATGTCTAGCACATACTTTCTCTTCCAAGATACTTTCTACAAACAAGTAAAGGGCGCACTCATGAGTTCTCCTCTTTCACCAATCCTTGCAATCCTTCACATGGAAGACTTCGAAATCAAGGCTATTGACAGGTTCGACCTCAAACCCTTCTGCTGGTTCAGATACGGCCCTATGGCTCCGAAACTCTCCATAATTTTCTTGATCACCTCAACGACCTCCACCCAAATATAAAATTCACAATGGAAATTGAAACTAATAACTCCCTTCCAATACTAAATGTCCACATCACAAAATCCAATAACTCCTCCATCCACACGGTCTACAGGAAACTAACACACAAAGACACAAACTCCCACCATCATCCAGCACAAACCAACTCCGTCTTGAATTCCCTCATCCATAGAGCTATCAACCTCACAGACCACCATAACAAACCACAAGAGCTAGCCCAACTCAAATCAGCTCTCCTTCGAAATGGATTCACAGACTATCAAATTGACAGATCCATCAATCGTCAACAAACTTCTTCGTCCAGTCTCAAATATCTAAAAGAGAATAATGTTCCCCACAAAGCTTTTCTTTCCTATATTAAAGGTGTAACCGACAAAATTGGCCAAATTCTGAAAAAACAGGACATAAAAACCCTAATTCACCGTCAACAATCAAATTTCCACATTCCTCCGTTTTCCCAAGGACAAAATTGTTAATGAATCATAGGGTATATATGAAATTCCATGCTCCGATTGCGATAAAACATATGTAGGCTAGACCAACAGTAACAAGTAACAGTAACAAGTAGAGTATAGGAACATCAACTTGCTGTCCGAAAGTCAGACACATCCTCAGCCCTGTTCAAATATCATCAAGAGACAGGACACAACATAGACTTTGCGAACACTAAGACCATCGCCACAGCGAAAACACTACCAGTTCGGATAATTCGCGAGGCAATCGAAATCAAAAAGCAACCTTTCTGCCTGAACATACGTGATGACGGTCAGAAACTTCCAACTGCCTGGAAACCCCTAATTTCCTGATGCTTACCCCCCACCAAAGTGCAGAAGTCAATAATCGGAAATAGCATTCAATAAAGTGGCAAACCATATACACGTGTTAAGGACTTTTGGTCCATCGTCAGTATGGTGCAGCTAAGTGTGAGGATGGGCAAAATTTGCATAAAATTTTGTGTAAAAATTGAAATTACCTATTCAAAAACTTTTAAAATGTAGGCATTAAAAAGTGTTACACGCTTTTCACAGAAGATCAATAAGCACATCAACAACCGATGAAAATTTTAAGAAAGTCTTGGAAATTGTTATGGAGAATCGTCGAATCACTTTGAGAGATGTTGTTGAGGATATCGACATATCAGTTAGCTCAAGCCATGCTAGCACCGTAATCATGCCTTACTTTTTTAACAGACTTCGTATATGATGATTGATGATTTTTTTCCATCAATCTATCTGCTCATTTCACAATACGCATGATTGCAATACTCATGAACATGTTCGAGAAGAATAAAATTTTATTTGCACTCATTTTCCTAATAGTAATTCAACAACGAGCACACGAAATGGAATGTGAAATTCCGGTAGACGCGAGCTCAGTCACGAAATACACGAACACTGTTTCGAATAAAAAAAGAGCCTTCAAAAGTGCTAGGAAGTACTTCAGGGATTATTGTGAGAATTCGAGTATCATAGGATTCAAGTATTTGGGAGAAAGAAGATCAAGAGGGGAGAGGTAATATATAATTTACAAATTTTTTTCATTCCCCATTGACATTTGCTAATTTTTCATCCCTTCCATATATGTACGATACTTTTGTGGTATTCTTCATTGAAAGTGTTTTATATTTCTTCATAATCACAAGAATTGATGATGAATTCCCATTGATGTTGATAACGCTGACAAATTACTATCCACTTATGATCCATGATGATAATTGAACAAAATTCACTCTTTGAATTTCATTTAGGATGTGGTTTTTGTCAATAAACTAGTACATTAACTATTCTTAAATATATTCTAACTCAACTCAACTACTAATTATTATTTTTCGGTAAATATAGAATTCAGTTTCAGCTTTTTAATAATTCCTTAATATCAGTTTTTATAAGCTATAGTTACGATACAATAAATGGCCATAACAAATAAATCTAGATGACTGAATACATTTTAAAAAACGAACGTGGTTAGGAAAAATGAGAAATGAAACTTTCTATGTTTCATCACCAGTTTTATTTGTAATATATTCAGAAAACCGAGCTATACAGACATTACAATTCCAAGTGATTCTTTCCATCTTGACAGTCATATATTAGCAGCCTACAATTAAATGTTGTACAGAGAATTCTCGTTGTCTTTATCTGCTTAACAATTTAGATAGGGAAATTAAAACAATCATATAGATATGATGTAATAATGTTTTCAACGCAGACACAATCTAGAAGTTAGTCGTAAAACAAAGCCTCAAATTCACGTACAGATAAATATATCCCCAGATCAAACAATCGCAAATCAAGAAATTTGTAACTCCAACATATTTTGGTAGAAGAATAAAGACAATTGCGGGTTTTTTCAAAAAAAGCAATATGGAAGTGGTATTCAGACCACATGCCAGGTTATCTAATTTCCTTTTTAATGCCAAAGATAAAGTGGACAAAATAGAGAAATCTGGAGTTTATAAGCTTAAGTGTCCGGAGTGTAATATGTTATACGTAATGTAATATGTGGGACAATGTGGCCGAAATTTCTAAAGACGTTAATGCTGAACATAAAAAGTCCTTCAGACTAATTAAATATGATTCGATGTTTTCAAACCATTCCTTGAAATGCAATCACAAGTTCTCAAATCTAAATGATATAGAGTTTTTGCACTATGCAAGCAAAGACTGGGAAGTCAATTATTTGCAATCCTTAGAAATTCATAAACATAAGCATCGCAGATATAACCTGCTAAATGATCAAATCGATCTAGTTTATTCGCTGGTTTTAAAATTTTTGTACCTGAATTGTCACAGGTAAACAAAATTCAGATACTCAATTCAGTTGAGTACCTACCTTCGTTATTACCTACAGTGGTGTTTAGTTTCATAAGGGCTAATTATTATTTATTTTCGGTTTTACTGTATTAGTTTGGAAACTGCAGTAACGATAGTTACAAATAAAATTGGTAAAAAACATAGAAAGTTCCATTTCTCATTTTTCATGATGATCTTCTACCACGTAGTAACGGCTACATCAATGAATTCTTTGAAACCAAAATGGTTCATTACGATCAATTCTGATGAAGGAGCTGTATAAACTCGACGTAACGACTCAAAAATTTTGCAACTCCATAGGAGTTTGCATCCCAAATCGTTTTTACCACGATTTTTCTCACACCGACAACAAGGAGGTGATAGAATTCAGAATTTGGAGTGTCTCCATTACTGAGGTACTGGAGCCTGTAAAAGCATCAGAATTTTATTCTCTGCATGGTCCGCGACCACGAGAGGGCAGGAGTTAGCATTTTTTTCGGGACAGTTTCCCGAACGGTTCATGAAGTTGGTTTAGTTTTCGACACTGAACGGGGTGATCATAATTCTGTCAAACTTGTTCACTAAAAGGTCCACATGAAAGCAGCAGAGATCACTTCACTCCTGCGGCAATCCAAGGATAAGCCAATGCATGATGCATTGATGCACTCTACTCATAATCATACTCGGCTGCCGTATCAAGGCAAACGTCTGGACCGGACAAAAACAGAAAACTGTCATTCTTTGGTCATTGCATATAGATAGATAGATAGATCGATAGATTTATTGATCCTTTTTGCTACATAATGTGTAGATGGGATAAGTCATAATTGTAGTTATAAACATTCATACATATAAACATACAAATGTATAAACAAACATGTAAATAAAATTCTAGGTCTACATAGAATGCAAGAAAACTAGGTTTCACAATAAAAATAATTTTGTCCAGGCATCATATAAAATCCTATCTAATGATAACTGATGATAAGTCCAAATAAGATGTGGTACAAATACATCATTCAAAAATAAATAGAAAAAAAAAGAAAAAAAAAATAAAATCACCAGCTTGCTTAGAAACAATAAACAAGGAGAGGTAACAAGGACATTTTGAAATAGAGTTTTTAAAAGGAATACGATCGCTCATTGCTAAACAGTTTTCTGATAAATAACGTTTCAATTTTTTTTGAAGATATGAGACAGAGTCTTTATATCGTTTGGCAGTAAATTATGCATCCGAATGCCGGCAAATTTAGGAGATTTTTCATATTTTGTGTGATGGTATTTTCGTGTTATGATCATATATTTTCTTCTTATATTATAGCTATGCATATCTGTTTTTGTTTGGAAAAGTTCTTTATTTTCATGTACATATGTCAATGTTTTTAAAATGTACAGACTTGCAACTGTCAATATTTTATTTTGTTGTAATATATTTCTACATGAAGTTCTAAAATCTAAAATCTCAGCAGTGCTATTTGTTTTATAAAAATCCTGTCTGATCCAATAGCTAGTCCCCAGACCGAAATGTTCTGATACATGATCGAGTGAAATTTGACATAATAAACTGATATCAGTGAATTTGTATCTAACTTGCACTTAAGAGATTTCATCAGATAGTATGATTGATTCAATTTCTCACATATATAATCTATATGTTCTTGCCATGTGAGGAGTGAGTCAACCATAGTTCCTAAGAATTTTGTCGAGCTGGTCAGTTCTAAAGGTTTATTTTGGAAACTGAGATTGATATTATGTTGACTTCTCGATGAATTCCGTTTTGTTCTGGTTGACTATGAGTCTGTTCTTGTTACACCACCCATTAAATTCGATGAGAACATCATTTACCATTTGTGTCATATCGTCAGATATTTTACTAGAAAGAATGATAGACGTGTCATCTGCATAGAGAAATATTTTTCCATGACTTATATTGAGAGAAAGATCATTTACATATAATAAAAATATTAGTGGCCCAAGAACGCTACCCTGGGGGGTACCTGTTGTAACTGAAAATTTATTCGACTTGATGTTATTCTGCTTTACTTGGTAACATCTATTCTACAAAAAAGAAACAATTAATTGATTTATTTACGTAACCACGAATCTCAAGGTTGAAGAGTTTGTCTGCTACAAATTTAGTTTTAAAAGTGTCGAAGGCCCTGCTCAAGTCAAAGAAGACTCCTACAACAATATTTTTTCCGTCAATTAAATCATGTATGTGTTGTGTGAAATTTAGCGTTGCGGTTTCTGTTGAGCAGTTTTTCCTGAATCCATGTTGGCACTCTGTCATCAGATCGAAGGTTTCGAGGTAGTCGTTTATTCTGAGAGATATTAGTTTTTCCAAAATATTTGAGAGTACGCTGATAATTGATATAGGACGATAATTTTCGATACTCTTTTTGTCACCATTTTTCAATACGGGTACTAGAATGGCAATTTTGAGAAGATCAGGATATTTTCCAAAACCAACACATAAATTCATAATATTTGGTCTGCTAATATATCTACACATTCTTTAATAATTTTTGTAGAGACCTCATCATGCCCTGTGCTTTTTTTATCAGGTAATGAGGCTATGCCTTTTTTTACTTCGTGGTTGTGATTCAGGATTATACGTTTACTCTCAGTTGTTCTTAATGGTTGCTTGATTATGCTCCAAAGAGTTTTGCTTTTATTGCTAGACTCATTTACTTTTTTCATATAATGATTTCTTTGCTGTCTTATAAGCAGTGTCTTTAGTGTCCGAGTTCTCGTGTTTTTTCAGATAATTCATGTGCCTGAGATCTTAATTTTTTTTTTTAGCGGAGTAGAAAGGACGATTTTGTTATTTTGTTGCTCAGAGGTTGTATTTCTAGAACATTTAGGGAATGCTGTCTCAAAGCACCAATGGAAAAGTTCCCAGAAGTTACTGAAAGCTTCGTTTATGTTGGTAAACATGGCAGTAGTGAAGTTTTTTTGAAACTCCATGTCTCCTGTGAAAAGTTTTTTGAATTCAGCTATGGAGAGATCGGTAATTTTGATAATCGGTAATTTTAATATACTTAGGGCATATGATTCTCGGACCCATTGATTACTAGCCTCACGTCAAGAAACAGTTGACTAGAGTCTTTGAAAACAATCCTGTCATATACTAATTGAAGGGAAGACTCGTATGAGGATACAAAAACAGAAAACAATACAGGGCTTTTCATGATGAGCGTTAATTAGCCGTTTCTGACAAACTATTCAACGGGTCAACCTGAAAATTTCACAGTATGCATAAATCAATATGACCTACACGTCTAAAATATTTCAGGAAAAGCGGCGTTGTCGCTTCTACTATAAAGTAGCGGCTTCTTTGAATTTTCAAATGAAACACCTTGTATATAATATCATATTATGATCCATTATCACTTTATCAACAAATTCATATACTATTTCCCCATTACCGTTCAGAAGATATAAATTAATTTCGATATTTTTTTACCAGACATGAACTTTTATAAATGCTGATAATCTTGAACTCTCTTGCACTAAAATGATCAAATTTGAAATGAAGTGGAGTGATACTATGAGGATCTTCACTCCGAGTCATATTTTCATTTGCCTCATACAGGGTCTTCAAAAAATGCAGATACTTTGATCTCATGAAAAAATGAGTGAAACTCAATTTTTTCAAATGGAACACCCTGTATATTTCAACATTTTTGAGCTCTACATCCAATTTTAGATAATAGTTCAGAAAGTTCAGATAATACTAATTCTATTTTGAACCGGTTTCGAGATAAACTGTTTCAAATGGAAACTGACGTGGTTTTCTTGCTCGTTTTTTTGAATTTATCACTTATTTTGGATATTCAACATTTTTTTCTATTCTCAGTAACATTTCTTTTTGATCCAGTTCTTCAACTGTCTCAGATCAGTCAATTCGAAATTGGTATGTACCTACCTTAGAAAAAGTTACAATTTGTATACATTGAGGTATTGGTCTCTAACGTACAACAGTACACATAAATATTTTTCAATAGTGTGCTCTGGAAAAATAAATAAACCAATTATTTAACGTCAGACTTTCGTTGGTGGTTTTGATTGATTGTGATAGCTACCAATTATAATAGAATAATGTCAAGATTAGGTTACAATAATGAAGATTTCTTGAATTTATTAATAATTTATGGTGAGTGCAATAGACACTCCATTTCAAATTTGATCGTTTTAGTGCAAGAGAGTTCAAGATTATCAGCATTTATAAAAGTTAATGTTTGGTAAAAAAATATCGCAATTAGTTTATATCTTCTGAACGGTGATAGGTATGGGGAAATAGTATATGAATTTGTTGACAAAGTGATAATGAATCATAATGAGATATTATATACGGGGTGTTCCAGTTGAAAAATCAAAGAAGCCGCTACTTTATAGTAGAAGCGACAACGCCGCTTCGTCTAGAATATTTTAGGCGTGTAGGTCATATTGATTTATGCATACTTTGGAATTTTCAGGTTGATCCGTTGAATAGTTTGCCAGAAACGGCTAATTAACGCTCATCATGAAAAGCCCTGTATACGAAGGGCACAGTGTTTCACAATTGTTTCACTGTCTTCTGAATATAATTCCTATTATTTCATTTCTAAATGAACAAAATTGTTTGATTTTTGTAAAATGAGAATAGTTATCGAACAGAGATGCACTTTGATAACGATGGTATTTTGAAGTTCAGAATTGTGAAAATATTAATTAGACAAAAATTTCGGTCAAGTACAAGTGTTATTCATGGGTGTTATTATCCAGGGGTCTACGAGAATGAACAAAGTTTAATTAGTGGCGCTCTCGTCTATTACATATTTTCAGCCAACCAATCTCATTAACAGAAGGTGTGGTATGTGTTTCATAACAACCCAAAAATAAGTCTGATAGAGTTTGTAATTTTTATATTCGAGAGGAAATTTGTAGATGGTATCGTCATCTCACTCAAAGTTCAAAGACAGATGATACCAAATGAGTTACCAACTATCAAAAATTTCACTCTTCTCTACGTCGAAAGACGGTAGGTGTTTATTCGATCCCTCAAATAACTTGGAGTGTTAATTCAGTCCCATTCCGAATGAAGTAGGTACATAACGAATACAGACATAAATCAAAAGAGCCATTGTAGTGTCTATCCATTTCCAATTGGAACGGCAATAAAAAGATGAGTACAGTCATAAACATTTCTTGCCTGTGACCCCTAGTCGCCCAGATGATTAGTAAACGTGCTATTAAATGTAGTTGAGGAGTAAAGGCTCGGCTAGCTGAACTGGCTGAATACTAATTTTTTGTCGTTTCACAATATTTCTTTATCAGTGCCGTGTGTTCGTGGGGTTAGGTGAGGTAGTGAATGGTTTTGCAAACCGATTTTTGAATACTTTTTCTAGAGATCAATTACCCTAACACCAAACTGATATTTCTGCACTCGACGCGAGTTTCGCTAACAAGGTTAGCATCTTCAGCAGAAGCAAATTGATACTGAATTTAAAGACATGTTTTAGACCTAAATATACAAATTAGTTTGTCAACAATAGATATGGCTTTCTGGACACCTTTTGAAACAAATGATAACATTACGTGTGAGGAATCTGTATCAATCGACAGGGATCCGGAATTTTAAAATAAGGACTTACATGTTCAAGTTCAGCGAGTAATTTTAAATATTCATGAATGCTTGCAGAAAGAAAACTGTCACACTTCACAGAATGATATTGTGAATAGAATATGCGAGTTAACGAAACTATCTCGTTCGACAGTTCTTCGAGTCATTAAAATAGGGGATGTCCTTGACCATGCAATGAAACGAAAACAAAGGAATAAAAAATTCGCAAACGTTGATGGTGCTACAAAAACATATTATTTTTTGCTGTTCCAATTGCTATTGGAAATACTATACTAAACGTTTTGTCTGCTAGTGCACCATACATCTTCAATGCAATGTTGTTCCAGGCGGTACATGAGTGCATTTGGCTGCACTTTTTTTCTCTGCACTTTTTGGCTGCACTTTTCACATGAAATCATGTGAAATCTGTTTTTTGGTGAAACACAATCAGTTATCCGTTAGAAACAGAATGTTGTGTGGGAAAAGTGAATCCACTTTCATCTGCCAAATAGCAGAAATCACGATTATCAAAGTGTCTTTCCTGTCTTCTTCCATCGCATATCATAGTATCACTGTTAAAAATCAGAAAATAGTAACCAGTGAGAGAGAACAAAGCATAAAGAGGGAAGGAAGAAAAAAGAAAAACGGAGAAACAGGAAAATGGGGACACAAAAAGAGAGACCGATAGAAAAAGAGAAAAAGGCAAGAAAAGAAGAGAAACAGACGAAACAAGGAGAGGGGAAAACAGAAACAGAAAAAGACAGACAGAAAAACAGAAAAAGAGACAGAGAACCAGAGAAATGGAGACAGAGAATCAGAAAAGAGAGGCAGAGAATAGAAGAAAAAGTGAAGAAGAGAAAAATAGAGGAACACCGGGAGACAAAGAGAATGAGAAACAAAGAGAAAGATGGAAAATGAAACAAACTGAAAGAGAATAAAAATGAAAGAAGGAAAGAGATAACAAAGGAAAACAAAGAAGAAAGAAATGAAAAAAAAAGAAGGGGATTGAGAAAACTAGTTGTATATTTCAGTACAGAGTGAGTCAATAAAATTAACTGATGTCGATTTCAACAACATTTTTTCTTCGAAAACATTCTTATTTAGCGTCAATATGGGGAGTTCAGTTTTACGAAAAGTGCACATCGGTGCAATAAAGTGCACCTTTTTTTTGTAGACTGGTGCATATTGAAAACTCGTCTAGAACAACACTGCTCAGGTTTTATATGCAAAGTTACTATATCGAAATGTTTGGTACTACAAGTACCATTTGATCACGAACTACCAGCCCGGACTTTGCCCTCTTCAATTGTGCCTACAGCTGTTGAAGCCGATGTTCTTGTACAGACTTAGACTCAATTGTTAGAGGCATATTCCAAATCATGGAAAAAAAGGTAACATTCTTTATCTTTTCGATAGCTATTTGAACTCGATATCGCATCTATTTCTAGTATGATTTTGTAGCATTGCCAACCGATATGCCGACATCCTCAGTAACTTCTCTAATAGTGAGTCAACAATTATCCGTTACGATTTTCTTCACTTTCCCAACATTTTTATAATTTTTGATGTGCTGGGACATGCAGATCAAGGGTCATCATTCACGTCTTCTCGACCTTCTGTGAAAAGTTTGTATTTAGCTTAGTCGACAATAAAACTTTCCACATCCACATTGAATATGGAGTTGTGAGCCCAGACCATAAGTAGCGCCAATGTTAAACTCGATGGGTGGATAGGAGTTGGCGCTCAACAATGACAACGTACGTGACATAGATGATGAATTTTCACTGGTCCGCGTCTTTTTACTGCAAAAAAACTAAACATGCCACACAGATAAAAATCTGAACATACGTTCGAGATGACTACAACAACATTAAAATAATGACTAATCGAATGTACGCAGCCCGAAAAATTTGAACGTTCATCTTATTTTTTGAACACTCCATATATAACGAATATTCGCATTTTTGGTACATCTGGTATAAAATGTTTACTTTTCAGACTATTATGGTTTGTGATAGTAGTAACAGCAATAGCGCTATCTGTCTACTACATTTTAGAGATCTACAACAAATACGAAGAAAATCCCTTCATCGTCAACTTCGCCACGAGAGAATCACCAATTTCCGTCATACCTTTTCCAGCTGTTACAATATGCCCAGTGGTGAAGGCGTCAAGAAAAAATTTCAATTTCACTGAAGCAGTTCACAATATCTTGGATGATATATCTATCAGCGAAGATAAGTAAGTTATTTTACAGGCAAAATGTATAATTTGACAAACATGACCAACAAAACATTCAGCAAGGTTTATGGCTTTGTGAGTGAAAATACAAAAATATGTTTGTTCGCGAAGGAGCTTATTTAAATATCACAGAGGATGATTTCGGAACCACTAAACAAGTTGGAGCCTGGCTCGCTCACCCTTTCGACTGGTGTTTGTCAGAAGGACAAATGGGTCAAGACTGATCATGGAATGACACCATGAATGTCCTTAGACATCAGTACCGCCCTTTACGGTGGACCCCTGCCTGACTGGGGTGTTTGGATGAAGATATTGTTCATCTTTCAACGTGGGACATGAAGGCCTTCTATATCGGGAGGGGTCGTCTACAGCATAATAAATAGATTCCCTAACTAACGAATTATCGTGGGTTTCTGCACAAGCAAAGACTTGCCGATTCCTCAACTGAATGGACTGCTGAATGGAAGGCAGCTGCAAATCTATGCAGATGGCTTCGTTCCGTAAGAACCAGGGAGCATTCACAATCATCCGTAGTATTTTGTTTTGTAAAGTCTCCAGGATGGAGATGTTGGACGGAGCCGCTTGTCTCCTATGCCTGAAGCATACATGATGACAGACTTCAACATCGTTTTATAGATCGTAATTTTGTTCTTTAGGCTCAATTTGTAACGTCTGTTGATAAGAGGGTACAGCCTTTTGATCCAACCCTCAATCTTTGCCTTCACGGTTGTGATGTGCGGGTTCCAGGTAAACCTACGGTCTATTAGAAGACCGATATACTTTACCCGCGCTTGCTAGTCGATCCCCCTCCAGAGATCCTCACTTTTCTGGCCGGAGAAGATAGCATTCTTTCCATGGTTATCGCCTGAGTCTTTTCCGGGTTCACTCGGATCTTCCATTTGAGGTACCAGCGCTCGAGGTCGTCCAATGTACGTTGCATGTAAGACGACGCCAAGCTCCCGAATCATGAAAAATGAGAGGAGAGCCGTGGCATCGGCGTACAGATATATCTTCACACGCTCTGACCTCGGAAGGTCGCTGGTGTAAAGGGAGTACATACATTGCACTCAAAAAAGTGGCAACACATAGACACGTGTTTCGGGATTTTGGCTCATCATCAGTATGGTGCAGTTAATTGTAAGGATGATCAACACTGGGTTACCAAAAGAAAGAAATACAAATTCACGGAGCCACCAGCAGGATAAAGCTACACACATGTGGTTCCAGATGAAAGATCTTGTGTTTACAAGGAAACTATCAAAATCACCACGGAGGCAGCTATAGCTACCTGCATGACATCCGGGTCCAGGAAATAATACAAATATGAAGGTTATTCAGTGTCTTAAATAAAAATACAGAAGTTAATAATCGTACATTGCACTCAAATAAGTGGAAAACCATATACACGTGTTTCGAGCTTTTGACCCATCATCAGTATGGTGCAGCCAATTGTAAGGATGAGCAACACTGGGTTACCAAAAGAAAGAAATATAAATGCACGGAGCCACCAGTGGGAGCCAGCTACACATTTGTGGTTCCAGATAATAGATCTTGTGTTTATAAGAAAACTATCAAAATCACCACGGAGGCAGCTATAGCTATCCGGGTCCAGGAAATAATACAAATATGAAGGTTATTGAGTGTCTTGGATGAAAATACAGAATTTAGTAGTCGGACATTGCACTCAAGAAAGTAAAAATTACGTGTTTTGGGCTGTTGGCCCATCATCAGTATCGTGCAGCCGAGTGGAAGGATGGGCAGTCGGTTGACGAGAGGTCTGGGGAGTATGGTGAGTGAGGCAGAACTCCAACGCTCAATTCAATTATATTTCGGACAGTGATTTGTGAAATGTGCGGACGGCGTTGTCGTGGAGCAGGATCGGACCTCTACTGTTGACCAGTGCCTTTTTTGGAGAGTTTTTACCTTCGGGAAGCGCCTGGGTGACTCATTCATTCACTTAAAATAATTGATCATGTTTTGTTTATAAAAACAGACGATTTTGATATTGACAATAATTTGAAAAGTTATAAAATAAAGATATTGATTTGAAACGTTTGATTCATGTTTCACTTCAATTGGCTTTTTGGCAACCCTATTGAGTCGCTTGATATAAATACAGAAGTTAATAATCGTACATTGCACTCAAATAAGTGGAAAACCATAGACACGTGTTTCGAGCTTTTGACCCATCATCAGTATGGTGCAGCCAATTGTAAGGATAAGCAACACTGGGTTACCAAAAGAAAGAAGTACAAATGCACGGAACCACCAGAGGGAGCCAGCTACATATTTGTGGTTCCAGATAATAGATCTTGTGTTTACGAGAAAACTATCAAAATCACCACGGAGGCAGCTATAGCCACCTGCATGACATCCGGGTCCAGGAAATAATACAAATATGAAGGTTATTGAGTGTCTTGGATAAAAATACAGAATTTAGTAGTCGGACTTTGCACTCAAGAAAGTGAAAATTACGTGTTTTGGGCTGTTGGCCCATCATCAGTATCGTGCAGCCCAGTGGAAGGATGGGCAGTCGGTTGACGAGAGGTCTGGGGAGTACGGTGAGTGAGGCAGAACTCCAACGCTCAATTCAATTATATTTCGGACAGTGATTTGTGAAATGTGCGGACGGCGTTGTCGAGGAGCAGGATCGGACCTCTACTGTTGACCAGTGTCTCTTTTGGAGAGTTTTTACCTTCGGGAAGCGCCTGGGTGACTCATTCATTCACTTAAAATAATTGATCATGTTTTGTTTATAAAAACAGACGATTCTGACATTGACAATAATTTGAAAAGTTATAAAATAAAGATATTGATTTGAAACGTTTGATTCCTGGTTTATTTCGACTTTAAATCGAAGGAAATCACTGTAGGTCTGACTAGTCTGAATATTGGTCCTTCGAGCAGAAGAAAAAGAACCAAAAGAAATCAATTACAATATGTCCATGCCTAACCTGAGGAGGAGTGGGAGGAAAACTAAAGAAGTTCTTCCTGAAATATATAGCGACGTATGTTACGACTCACGACAAGTTTCGGAGTTGCAGAAACGTTCTTCATTAGAAGACGCATCTAATGCCGAAGACAAATCAAAAATTACGAAATCTTCAAGTTCCAGATGACGAATATTGGAAACACTCGAAGAAACAAGATAGTTCTGATGAAACTGATAGAGAAAAATCAAAAAACATAAGAAGGACAATAGTTCTTTAGATAGCGATGAAGATATTTCAAAAAAGAAGAGGTAATAAAAAAAGGCAAAGTCGGTAAGCGATTCCGATGATGAGGGGAAGGTAAAAAAAAGACATCAGAGCTCCGACTCTGAAGAAGAGAAGAGAGTGAAGAAGAAGCGCAGGTTAGTCAGTTCAGAAAAAGGAAAACAGTCAAAGCAGGATTCTAGTGACAGTGACGTTCCTGCTAAGAAAAAGAAGAAGCAGATAGTTTTACTTTTTCGCTGAACCATCAGAAATTGGACTCAAAAATTTTGAACAGAACCAATATTTCCACGAAACGAGATGTTTTGAAGGTAGTCATGTCTGTATTTGACCCGTTAGGTTTTGTCCCCACTGGTCGTAAAATTAAAAATTTTCATGCAGAACTTATGGAGGTTTAGAATAGGCTGGGACGATGAGTTATCCATGGAAATGAACACAAGATGGAAACAACTCCTAGACGAACTGACAAAAATTGATGAAACGAGTTTACCTAGATGCTATGGAATCGGATTGTATGAAAGCAAACAAGTTGAACTACATGGTTTTTGTGACAGCAGTGAGAAAGCCATTTCAGCTGTCGTTTATCTGAGATTTGAATACGATGAAAAATTCAAATTATCTTCCGTAAGTGCTAAATCAAGAGTGGTACCTTTGAAACTGATGACCCAACCCAGATTGGAGTTACAAGCCGCGGTTATGTTGAGCAGACTCATGAACACTATCAAAAACAACATTGACATACATATTACTTCAACCCATTTATGGTCAGATTCAAAAATTTTCCTGCACTGGATTCGTTCCGAATCTAAAAGATACAAAACTTTTGTATCGGTGAGGATTGCGGAAATTACAGACATCACTAACATATTTGACTGGCACTGGGTCCCTGAAGATGAGAATGTAGCAGATGAAAGTACCAGAGAAGATAATACCGCGAACAGAAACAAATGGCTGATAGGGCCGAACTTTTTGATACTTCCTGAATATTACTGGCCAAAAGAGGCACAAAAAGAAATAGAAAAAATTGAAATGGAAACGAAGAAAGAGAAAATAATGACAGTTACAGACAGTAAAAGACATGTATCTGCCAAATATCGAAAGATTCTCCAAATATGGAAGGTTAGTTAGAACAACTGCCTTCATAAATAATTGTAAAAAGGGTAGGTACGAGGAATACAATGAATTTAGATGCGGAAGAGTTAGATGTTGCTGAGAAAGCTCTGATCAAGTGTAGTCAGGAAGTCAGCTTCTTTCAAGAAATTTCAGTTTTGCGCAATGGGAAATCTGTTGAAAAATCAAGCCGAATATATACCCTCATGCCAATACTTAACGAAAAAGGTATTTTGCGAATAAAAGGGAGACTAGAAAATGCTGAAAGCTTGAACTATTTTCAAAAACTTCCAGCGATTCTTGATCCAAAACACCGTTTCACGAAACTTCCAATTGAGAGCTATCACATAAAATTTGGACACCAGGGACAGAAAATTATTATGAATGAGCTGCGTCAGAAATTTTGGATTTTGAGAATGAGAAGTGCTGTCCGAAAATGCAAAAGTTCTTGTTTCTTCTGCAATGAAAGGAAAATACAACCCCACGTACCTGAAATGGGTCAGTTATCGTCTTCAAGATTTTGTCAGGCCATTTACTTCCACCGGAATGGACTACTTTGGGCCGGTTTCCGTAACAATCGGCAGGAAACATGAAAAACCCTATAAATACTATTTACCTGTATGAGCGTACGAGCGATTCATCTAGAAATGGCAAATTCGTTAAAAACGGACCCCGCTATCATGGCGATCAGAAGATTTATAAGTCGACATGGATGTCCGAAAGAAATTTACTCAGATAACGGTATGAACATGCATTTTGACAATAGAGAATTAGGAGAAGCTGTCAAGGACATGGAAGATACTGAAATTTTAGGTTTTTTCTCCTTAAGAACATTACATGGAAATTCATTCCACCAGCATCTCCACATATAGGAGGAAGCTGGGTGAGGTTGGTGAGGTCGGTAAACAGTGTTCTCAGCATTACACTGAAAGAGAGACACCCCATAAAAGAAGTGCTCATTACCCTGATTACGGAGGCGGAGAATATGATAAACAGCAGATCATACATTTCAAATGATCCTTCGGAACCGGAAAGCCTCACGCCAAATCATTTTTTAATGCACTGTTCAAATGGAGCTGCACCACCATTGGGAAAATTCGAGGAAAGAATATTTACTTACACTGAATGAACAAATGAAGTGGTATTAGAAGGGGGATGACGATGTGGTACTCGTCATTGACGACAGATTACAATGGAATTTGTGGCCAATTGGAAAAATTGTGAATGTTTATAGGGAAAAGGATGATAAGATTAGAGTTGTGGACGTCAAAACAAAATCAGGAACCTATAAACGGCCAGTTACAAAGATCTGTAAATGAATTGAAGACTATGTCAAATGCAGTGATTTCATCACGAGGGGAAGAATGTTGTTGCTTTTGATTAATTTTGTTCACTTAGTAAGTTAAAATAATTGATCGTGGTTTGTTTATAAAAACAGACGATTTTGACATTGACAATAATTTGAAAAGTTATAAAATGAAGATATTGACTTGAAACGTTTGATTCCTGGTTTATTTCGACTTTAAATCAAAGGAAATCATAGTAGTACTGACTAGTCCGGACATTGTACTAACGTTTCGTGTTCCTTGACCTTTCTAATACGTTTTAAACCATCAAAAATTGCATGGGAGCTGACACCATATTCTTCCATCATGCCACGCACCGTTTGTGATGAGTCAGTCTTCATCAGGCTGAAAATCGCTCAATAACATAATATAGTGATGGGCTGAGAAGAAGCAAAAACCAAAATTTGGGAATACCGAACAGCAAGTATGGAGTTCAACATTCTCCATCGATGGGTACAAACCACGACACAGTAAAGAGAAAAGGAGCTATACAAACACATGATATTACAACTGACAAAACTTTCATGTATACATGACGCATGTGTCAATATGCCTATCTCCTATTGAACAAAGTTGGTATTACTTTTACTCATTGATTTTTCATGAAATAATTTTCAATGAATTCCGCACGGTCCATTTAAATCCATTCAAAAAAAAAGAAATAACGGACTGTCCATATCAACTACTTCACTGAAGGTAAAGAAGTTCGTTCAAAAACAATGCATTACTCCTGAACCTATCCATGAATATGAGTTCTAGTAAAATGTTCGAAATTCCATTTCCTGGCGACACGTGGTTCAAATTAAAAAAACGCCACTTTGAAGCCAATCTAATGCTCTTTCAAAATATGTATCACAACAAACGTCTATTTCAAAAGAATAAGACTGAATCCCACCCCGGAGTTGGAATAAGAATAATGATACTTTTATTGAAAGGTCACTCGATACAAGAAACACTAACCTAGCCGTAAACCTCATGAGATTGTTGAATCGTTAATAACTTTCGAAATGTTGGTCGTATATTTTATAACTCCTAGAAATCATTTTTCACTATTTGATATTTTCAATTTCAGAATGAGGAAAACTCAATATATGTCTTCGGTGTGTGCAAATAACGGCGATACTTACAGGCAGAAATTACCGTTGGTTGATACTTTCACAGAAGATTTCTATGACCAACTGGATTCTGTGAGTTCCTTTTATTTTTATATTGTATATATTATTCGAGAAGTGGCCTTTGCAATTCCAGCGACATGATTGTGCCAAGACATATTGGTGACCATTTAAACCCCCAAAAAACTTATCGAAGCCGAAAGCGGAATTGTTTGACCTGACATTATTATATCCGGTTCGGAAAAATTTATATTTTTGAAGAAAACTGATGCCTGGGTTTTTGTGGCATGGAATTGAACCTGATTGATTTCGCCCCAATTCGGAATTATTTCTAGATCCTCATTAAAATATTGAACTTTCCGCCACCGGTGAAGATGTAGATTCGCGGCAGATGTTCTGGAATCCAATTAAAATGATGAGAAAAGTGTGCTGTCGTCAGCAAAGCAATATATTGGATTCTTGGTTTCTTCCAATAAATCGTTGATATACAATAAAAAGGGGGTTGGAGATAATACCGATACTTGATATGGATTTTCATCGAGTATCGGTCAGTTCTATTCAATTATATGGGTGATTGGTATGTTTATTATGTTTTTTTTCCGTTAACCATCTATCGCACCCTTACGAATGACAACCCTCAGAAGTCGAAACTTGTGCGAAACCTGTGATTCTAATGCCGAACTCCTTTAAATATCCAATTTGAATGTCAATAAAGTACTGAGAAATCTTCGGTCCAAAGGATAAATACAACCATCAACAGAAAACATATGAACTAGATGCATATGTATAGAAAATATACCGGGTGTCCCACATTTTATGTGACAGGCAATATCTGGTTTGTTGAAGGAGATACACAAAAATGTTTCAAACACCTAACTATACACTTTCAAAGAAAATAACATGTTAAACAACAGAGTTCAACCACAGAAGGAGTCTTGTTGATGAAGGGAAGACCATCTTGTGAACGATAGCCGAATTTGTGAATTGAACACGGTATACAACTAGCAATCAATGAGGCTTGATCCATTTTCAGAGTGCTCCAAATAACTCGAACATGCTTTTTGGTCTGTGTTACAAAAATAACTTTTTTACTGTAGGAATATTTATCTTTTGATTTTGTTGGAGCCTCAAACCGAGGTTAGTACTTGATGTGCTAGTGTTTCTTCAATTTCAGTTTAAATCAATTTGTGATATTTTACAGAGTTCACTATCGTGACTATCATCAGAATCTATATTCTACTAACTGGACTAATGATGATGGTTATTCAAAAGTGATTGGTGCGGATGCATATCCATATAGAGCATTTCTTGCTGGAGCTGACAGTGCTTTAGAAATGTTGCTGATGCAGATAGAGGGAGACTTAGACTACTTGTGTGCCAAGGACACAGAAGGATTCAAAGTAAGTTTACTGATTTTAATAAAGTGAATATTTTCTATGCGTAAACTGTTCAGCAACTTTCAATATCATTTTTGGAAAATAAGTTTGCCCTTGAATTGAAGAAGGTAGGTTTTTGAGAGGAATCAGTTTTTAGGAGAAATCTTTCCGCCTCAAAGTTCAGAGGAGAAATCTGCAATTTAAACTTTCATATGTCATTTACTGTTTTTACGGTTTGTCAAAAAGCTGTCGGTGATGAAGACAATACCTCTCTTATGAATCTTTCAGACTACTTTTTGACGCTTCTTTGAAGATGTCTGACTTGACTTTTCTCCAAATTTCCGGTAAGCATAGCCTTGGTTTGTTGAAACAATTCTTTGGTTCTCTTTTCAGACTGTCCCTATATGAAGGTTTTTCCCGTTATATTCCCGGGTGGATTTTTCCAGTACTTTCCATATTAGTCATGAACCCATTTTTCGATCTGGTGCCGACTCAAAGATTTTGGTACCCTCACTCCTGATATTATCTCTAATTTCACCGACGTTTCGACAAAATCTCATTTGTCATTATCTAGGTGTGCTGTTACGTGTTCAGAAGTTTTTTGACCCTGTTCAACTCACTTCTTACTATACTGGTAAAATGGTATTCGTTACGTGTTCAGAAATAGAGTGTCCATCAACTCTCTACTACCTACTACTTAAATGTTGTTGAGTTTCACCTGTGTTCTTCTTCTTCTTAGTTGACCTCATCTCCCCGTTAAGGTATCAAATGTTAAATCTGAAGTTTTCACGGATAGGACTATGCTGAACTGGTTTTTCCGAGTATTTGATCCGTGTATGTGATAATATCTCTAATTTCACCGACGTTTCGACAAAATCTCATTTTTCATTATCTAGGTGTGCTGTTACGTGTTCAGAATTTTTTTTTTGAGCAGGGTTGAGCAGGGTCAAAAAACTTCTGAACACGTAACAGCACACCTAGATAATGATAACGCCCTTAATCGACCGACAAGAGAACCCTTCAAGCTCTCAAATTTTCTAACCTCCTCAAAATTCACAAAGACTTACTTCCCGAAAAAATTTCGCATTACTCTAAGATCGCTGTCTCAGGCAAAGAGCTCCCAGAACTCTCTGTCTTTTCTCCTTTCAAAAAGCCAGGAAGAAATCACGGATTCATCGTTCCCCCCCTGTTCCTCAAACCATTCTTTGTAACAGTCCTCCACTTGGGAGGTGGGTCATCAGAAAAAAAAAACATATTTCGCTTAGTTGACAAAACTTTCAATGTTGGGATATTGGTATGCCTATATTTACATCTGAAGCTACGTGACAAATATATCTGACCGTGCATCTTTCCAAACCACGCCGATGAATAGTGTTTATATAAACACTCTCGATCCCTCGGCCATAATCTTACATTATATGAGAGACAGATCCGGCGTTTAAAAAAATCTGAATTGGAGAAACGTGTCTCTGTCCTAAGTTAGAATATATATTACCATACACAGGTCTCGCTAGGTATTACATGATCTATATATGGAGTTGAGGATCTGTCTTTGGCCCACTCAGCTGTTTCGCTGCTCCTAATACTTGAATGTCATGAAACCCAGTATATAATCAATCAATACTTGTTTGTCACTTTCCTCAGTTCTTCACGGCAGTCCCGGACTAGACTAGATGTCACTTGTGGGTATGTGAGTGCCTCTAATGCGGCCTAGCTGTCTACGGAAATATTGATTCGCTCATCTTGTTGAGACCTCGTATTATTGTTCTTTGCGCATCACAAAATTTCATACATTTGAGCCTGGAAGTGAATTTCAGCTCCGGTCCCATATTTGGTCTTCGGTTCATCTGTATACTAGGTGTTTCTTTCGAGTATGTTCGTGTATGCAATCGACAAAAATAGATCAAAGAGTTTGCATAAAATGTTTTCTAAAAAATGAAAGTATTTTGTAATCATGCCTCAGCCACCGTATTTACCAGATTTGATCCACTTCGACTTTTTTCTGTTTCCAAGGTTCAAGAGTCTCATGAAAGGATGGCGTTTTGCGATGATGGAGGAAAAAAAATCGCTGAAACAACTCAAAAATATACCAAAAGTGCATATCAGAACTGATTTAAGGACAGGAAAAAACGTTGGTCAGTTACATCTGAGGGGGACTACTTTGAAGGTCAGAAAATACAACGTATATATCATTGTGGTTTCAACCACCATGGTGTTAAGCTGATACACCTTGATGCACTAGCTGTTGTTTAGTTGCTCATCAGTAATATAATGCTATGTCTCAGACATGATACACTGTATACATACTCGGCTTAGGTTCAATATTCATCCTATGATCATTATTCGAACTCAAAGTTAGATAAACTGAATATCACATATTTATGCGAAGTATATTCCAGAATCGATGAGGAGAAATCTTCAGCGTAGTTGTTCCCTTGCAAAAGACAATCAGAAAAAAGTTATGTCGTACACAGAAAATATATTTGATTACGGACATGGATGATATCTACTCTCACGGAAACTCCGTTCATAAGGTCGACAGAAGGGACAATCCATTGATATAACAAATAAATTAGGCGCCCGAAGACGGTCATATGCAGAGAAAAACTTCAACAATGACCTTTGAATGGGATTCGTCCTCTTTACCCCATTATAGATACCTATGAGGGATCGAAATATCCCTGTTTGAGGCTTCAGTCGAAAGATGGAGTTGTTGGGTTTCGATATTTTTGTTAAAGTGTTAGAAATTTACGGAACTTTACTTCAGAGTGTCCTGTTGGATATCCCAAATTTGAAGTTTGTCTAGGCGTGAAAACGATTTCAAAACCTGAAAGTTTAGAAACCAATAGCATAAAACTAGTTATACTAACGCTAAGCTGGATACAGTCCATCGTGTTTTCTGAAGTTCATCGAGTTCTCTCAACCCTTAGGTGTAAGGGTGACGTAGGTATGTGGAGAGTTGTCAAAAAAGCCTCAATGTTCCCCTGAGAATAATGGAAAAACGTAAGTTCTTGTGTACCCTGTTAGTTCTTGTGGAGGATAACGTCAATGACTAGAAAGGTGTTGTCGTCGTCTCCGACAAAAAAAATGTCAAAAGATCCTCAATATACCCTGAGGGTTGGGAGAGAGAAGAAAATTGAATGATGTAACTTCTTGAAAAATACTGTTTCATCCAGTAGCGGTTGAAACTTTTGGTGTTTATGGCCCGGAGTCTCTGTTATTCGTTCATAAACTCGGAAGGAGAATAGGCCAAGCAACGAAAGATCACAAGTGATTGATCCACCTTCTTCTTTTTTAGTGTGGTCAGTGGACTCAGGTCATTCTTGCCCCCAAAAAATGAGTTGCAGTCTTCTTAGAACTGGTACCCTTTCAGTGAAAGAGCTTCTTGAAGCAAGAACCGAATCGATACCTCTACGAAACCCTTCTTCACTTGGAAGGATCGATCGCAGCTTGAGAAATGGTTCTTATGGAAATTCTGTGAAACATGTTCTTCCTTACGAATCAGTAGATAGTTGTCCTGGAAATCTAGAGAAGAAAATTCGGTTGAATAATTTAGGAAACACTTGCTACATGAACAGCATTTCACAAGTGTTCATGACGAAGTTTAATGATGAACGAGAACGGAAATGTTTCCTACTCATTCATCAAACTCAAACAACTGTTCATGCAGCTGCAGTTTCGTAAAAAGGTATCATCTTTACCTCCAACCGATTTCCTGGAGTTTTTGAAGTCCACTAGATACTCGTTAGGACAACAAGAGGATTGTTTCGAATTCTTGGGGTTCTTGTTGAATATTCTTTGTGAGCAAAACAATAGCAAAACAATACTCCTGACCGCTCTAAACTGAATGATTCCGTACAACCCATCTCGTCTAGTGTTTGTAAATATTTTGCTGGAAAAATCCCCACTCATTTACTCTGTGGTGAATGTTCAAGAAGTACTGAAAACTCATGTGAATTTCTGGAACTCCATCTAGCTTTTCCTGATACGACTAATTACCAGTCCGTGCAAAGCTTATTGTTAAACCATCTGAAAATGGAATTTTTAACAGGTGATGATCGACTGTATTGTCAAACATGCGCCAAACTAACTGACTGTTATAAGGAAACAAGTATTGCTGAGGCTCCAGTCAATCTAATAATAACACTGATGATTTCCAAACAAGACTCAACCTCTAACGGAAGCAAGAAACTGCAGCTGAAAAAGCAAATGCGCCACTGGAATCAATGAAGTCGCCTCGGAGCGCCAATTAATTTTTATTGTTGTTTGTTTTTTCACAATCAATAAAAAATGTGTTTGTTGTTCATCAAAATGAAATCTGAAAAACAGCTAGCTCATTTTTCAGTTCATTATCAGTAAAATGAGTCAAAATTAGCTATCATGTGAACAAATCACGACCCTAAGGTCAATTCAATTTCCTATAAACTACCAAAGGCGGTCACAAAGAATATCAAGTGGGCGAGGCGTGGCTCGGCTAGTCTCCATCGGACCACTTTTTCAACAATCTGTATACACCCCAAACCGGATTACCTATTATATTAACGTACTTTTGATACTTCTTCTCCTTCAACCCACTTCTGGTCATTGACAATATGACAATCAAAACCGACAGGGTAGCTCATAAAGTTCCGTCATTCCATTGTCTTCTCTCTCATTTCTGGCAATTTTCTTCGTCGAAGACGTCGACGACAACACCTTCATGGTCACTGGCGATATCCTCTACAATACTAATACATACTGATAGGAAAAATTGTGAACCCTGAAGAGGTATACACCTATAGCAGGGTCCCAACAAACATCCAAATACTTCGTAAACTACTAACCCCTTAATAATGAATAAATGTAATCATACTATCATACATAAATCCTCTACAAGAACTAACAAGGGTTCACAAGAACTTACATCATTCCATTGTTCTCGTTAAGCGTTTGTGACGACTCTTCACGTATCTACGTCACTCTTACACCTAAGGGTTAAGAGAACTCGATGAACTTCAGAGAACTCGATACACGGTATCCAGCTTAGCGTTAGTATAACTACTCTATAACTACTATAACTACTAATAATGAACTCGTTTATATGTGTTTATATTTTCGACAGGTTGTACTGCATACACCCCACACCGTGCCTCGACTGAAGAAGCAATACATTCCTGTCTCTTGGGACAGTTCCTTGCAAGTTATGGTTCACCCCAAGATGATGACCACATCGAAAGAAGTGAAAAAATTCAAACCAAAGGACAGACTTTGTTATTTTTCCGATGAGAGGCCTCTGAAGTATTTCAAGATATATAACCCCGAAAACTGTGAATTGGAATGTTTAACAAACTACACTTTGAAAATGTGCGATTGTGTGGACTTTTATATGCCCAGTACGTATGTTTTTTTGCGAAGGACTAGTTTATGTGGATCTACACTCATTTTCAATATTTCCTCAGCCCAATGTTCCCCTGTTGACGAATATTTCGCTCTGATATGTTCAATTTTCTGCGTAGATACACATCAAATTTTTTTTTCTAGGATGGTTTTCTCGCATACTGTGAGCGTAGCCAACCAAACTCATTTTTTTTCAGTAATGTGATGATATATCACCATCTACGAAGACACCATTTGAAGGGCGGTCAGTCTTGCAAATGTTTCTGGTTCTTCCAACAGCTGGAATTATTCGAGTAGATTCCCTACAGAGCGGTTTTAAGGTGCCTCATTATTGAAAGAAAAATCCGACTTGAACAGCAATGTGCCTGGGATTTGACTGATTTCAACGCGACTCGACTGCATGTCAAAAAATATTGTTCACTAGTAACAACTCCATCTCGTTAACAAAGCCTCAAGCGGAGAGGAAACATTCCGTATACAGTCGAAGTAACCTGTATTGTGAATAGTTTAAGCTATCGAATAATAAATGAATCTTCAATAACAATAATAATGATAGAGAACAAACAGGGAAATATTTCTTCTCCTACGTCTTCTACATACAGGTGACACCTTTTATGAACCAGTATAGCTAGAATTTGTGCTTTTTCAAAATCGTCCTGACGTTAGTTCTTGATAGGCCTGTTGATATTTTAAAATTTTGCGATGACGTTATTTTTAAAGGCTCCTAAAAAGGCTATTTCTTCCAACTCCTTATCACTGTTTGATTCATATAATTTTGCCCTTTCTTTTTCAAGGTTGTCTACTCTCTGGATACCTCTGGTGATACAAATTGCCTGCTGCTTCCACATTTTCCCGGTTAGTATAAAACAGACTATCATATCCCATTTCTCATAATTTTCATACTTCATTAGGAATATGTTCGAAAATTGAACAAAAATAACCAATTCCCGTATCGTCCAAAGACTACTCGATCAAAGTGTGCCTTTCAAAGTTCACATGAAAAAACCTGAAATAAGTCCAATAAGTAGTCGATATATAATAAAAAGAGGGTTGGAGACAATTTACAGGGTGTAACTGACTGAGTGTAAAACATTTGAGGAGGTGATTCCTCATCTAAAACAAGATAGGATCTTTCATATGAAGAAACTTCATTGGAGCATCCCTTGTTAAGATACAGCCCCTTAAAGGGGGTACATAAAATTTGTATAAATACTATATTTACTACTAATAAATGAAACTTCAACAACAATAACAGAAATGATAACGAAAAATGAAATATATTTTTCCAGAAAAGGTAATTCAACATTTTTGCTGAATCAATCAGTTTAAAAGAAGTGAGAGAAGCAAAACTTTGCATTACTGCCGCAATTGCAGAATTGGTCGGCAATTCAAAAATAACATTTTCAACCTTCCCTAGGAGTGAAAGTCCATAAGCAATAGGTTTGGTGACCTATCTATCCATAAAACACTGGGAATATGTTTGAAAATTGAATGAAAACCACTAATTGAAAAGCGTATTCACTGCTTGAATCAAACTTTGACAGTTACCAGTGAATATTTGCATTTTGTTTTATTGCCGCATCGTCCAAAGCATTCTTAATCATATTGTGCGTTTCAAACTTTACATGAAAAGCCTAAAAGCTCTGTATTTCAAAAATGAATCTAGCAAAACATCAAGTATGCCACATTCCAAGCTTTATTTTAAACTTTATTTCAATAGAGGAAATCTGCCCTGCTAAGCAAAAGTGCCGCATGTATAAAACAGCCATTTTGAGATACGCGACTATTTGCATTTAACTTTGACCAAGAGAATTTACGGTCAATTGCGCAGTGATACATGTGTTCCTTGATTAACTTGTACATTATTTACTTTCCACAATAGTAATCTTTCAAATACTCCACGTTTTTCCACTAGAAAAAACATATACTGCAGAAATTGTGTAACCATCACAAACGAAAAATGCAGTATATACACGCACATACTGCTTTATTATCGCTGAATAGTGTAAATAAGAAACTACATTGCAAATCATTTTATATTGCTCCATTGAAATATCAATTAACATTGTCATTGTAATTTATCATGAATTCTTAATTTTTTGAAGGCAAAGGGGGCCTGATTTTCAACTCTTCCCAAAATTGTTTCCTATTATTCGGAATAACACTATTGAGATTCTTGAGAATACTTTCTGGTTTTTCTATTGACACTCCACAAGGTGAAGATAAAGGGGATGGTGCGGGCATTCCATTGTTTTTCATGTTATTTTTACGCAGAAAATCCAGTGTCATATAATCATCTTTCGTCAAATCAGTTTTACATTTCAGATAATAATTCCTCCCTCTGCTTTTATATGGACGATGTCTTCTAAGTATAATCTGTTTTCTGCATTTTGAATTTTTTGTTGCGACTTGAAATCCTTCCAGAGAAAAAAGTCTGTGTGTTTCATTTGTTTCACGTCCACTTTTGACTTATTGGCACTTTGAACATATTCTGAGAAATCCCTGAAATCGTATGTCTCTTTCTGTTTCTTCAAAACAGCTTCCACCTGATGGTAAAAGCTATCAGCTGACATTAATGTGTGACCAGAAACAAAGTACTGTATATCAATTTCATCAACAGCCACGTCATCTGAATGTACGACGTATACCAAAAAACTCAGAAAACACCAATTTTTATTTTGACTGGAGCAGTTGTCCAACCACAGAACAATACGTGGTGAATCTCTATATTTCAAAAAAAATGCGTAGAAGGTACTAATAATGTCCTCCTCTTTTCGACCAGTGATAGCCTGATGCCATAAACACGCAAGTGGTTTATTATCTGATTTATTCCCTACTGGAACGAAGCTTTCGTCGTTATATAAAACGATCCTTTTTGTGAAGATAAGTTTTTTGAAACTATCGACACGTGGCAACATAATTAGTTTTTGTAAATCTGCTGAAAAACAAAGTGTGCCATCTGCAAATGACTGTTGAGCATGTTCGCGATACAGATTTCGAGCTTTAGTGGCCTTATCTATGTGAATTTTCCAGTTTTGGCATTGTTCACAAAGGAGTTGTAGATTTTCTTCTGAATGGCCATGTAATTTGAAACTTTCACAATCTTCGCATTCTTCATGGCCTAACAATGCAAACGATATACGCAAGCTCTTAACTTTCTGTCGGTACAATTCATAGGATAATTTTAAATCTGGAATGATATCTCATGTGAAAAAAGGAGTTTTACACACCATTTGATTCTACGTGAAGCGCTTTGGAAATGTTTTCAAACAAACAAGTAATTTTTGACAGGAAAAAAGTTACAGCATCTGTTCGAAAATGTACATTTTCGAGAGACATGCTGTAAATCAGAAACGATAATAGATATCGATATGCGGTTTTTACCATTAGGTTTGTCATAAAATTTGATCCTCTCACACAGTCATCAGTTTTCGTCTATCTAGTTTGAAAACAGGAGGTTTCCTTGAAAATTGTTCAATTGTCCACTGTGTATGGTTTGCATTAATGACAAATGATCTTTGAAAAATTGCTGTTTCATGCTGAGGAACGCTGGAGGTACATTTGTTTCTGAGATTCTTCGTATAGATTCGAGACCAGAGATCAGGGGATTGGTGGATCAGGATTATTCAAAAGTTTTTCAACGAAGGTACTTAAGTGAAGTCGTCTTCTATCTTTAATGAGTCTATGAGAGATGGGTTCATATTTAATTATTCCAAAGATGAGCCTATAATAACTATTTTGTATCTTTGAACTCGCATTTAACAACGATCGTCCAGCATGGACCGTTAAATGAGTGACAGTAGTTGAAGTGACTCGTAACAAGTGACTCACAAAGTGTACGTTTCCATTTGAAAGTGAGAATATGCCGATTACTCCAAATGACCTTGAGTGATCCAACCAGACTTTTGATGTGCTGGGAGAAATGCATAACAGAATCAATGAGTAAGAGGGAGTAAGGGAGTTAAGGGATTTCTATGTTGTCTATGTGGATAACCATGTTTTTTTTAGAATATTTATATTATTTTCATTAACGAAGAAACCTAATTGGGGTTCATCCAATTTCAGCTTTGCATAATTTTCTCAAGCTCATACTTTACCCTTTTTGAGTTCATCGTTAATGATTTCCATAGCTGCATCTGGGCTCTCCATATTGAAGTTCAGATACAACTGTGTATCAACTGCATAAGCCTGCACTTCACAACGTCCATCCCATTTGAAATATTTGCAGTGTTTATGACGAGAAAGAATGATCCTAAAATAGACTCCTGAGGAACCCCTGTCTGTCTCATGAAATAATCCCAGCGATCCGATGAAATAATTTAATTGACAACCTGCTGACGACTTTTCTGATTTTAGATGATATTAAGGAATTTGAGCTGACCAGCCTATTAGATGGAATATTTGATGTTGATTCCACCTGCAATTGCATGCCTCTGTGTACGGAAATTTCATATGATGTAGAAACTAGCAGTACATTATATTCATGGAAGAAGCAAATGCAAGCCGAAAGAGCAATTACGTTCCTGGAGGAAATGTACTTATTGAACGTTTCGGAACTGTAAGTTTCTGTAACTGTGAAAAAATTCTGTAAAATATCAGTGTCACACTAGTTTATTATTGTTCAAATTGGAAGTGGTATAATTTTAGCGTTGTTGGGAAAAAAGTTTTGGCTCTCTAGTTCACCATCTTCATACAAAAAATGTGGAATTTTCCAAAGGAAGGCCGAAAGTTATGAGGCTCAAAGTGAACTCTTCGCAAAGATGTGTAGATCATGCAAAGAAGTGAAGAAAGGAAAATACTTTCGAAACAACTACTTTTATATGAACATTGTATTATACAAAAAAAAACAGTTTCTTCTATTCAATTTGTTCTCTAAAATTCATTATGGAAGTGAATCAGATATAATAATAATAATAACAAATGGGCTCTATTCATTGACATTTATTGTTTATAAAGAACAAGTAGATACAAAATCAATAAAAGGACGAAGTTCAGCCAAGGCTGTTTTACAACTTAACCTAGGGGATGGCATGTATTATATAGAAATATAAAAATGATCACTTAGTATACATTGGTAAGTGAGTAGTTTATGAATCTTTGTGAAACTAAGAAAAAAAAAACAAAGGTTATAAATTTCAAATCAATTATTAAAAATCTATCAAGCTCAAATAAGGTCAAATATATAGCAAAACATACACAAAAGTGAGACAAAGGGAAAACCATATGAGCAACGCATAACCTGAATATATTATCTATCCAGAAGACTTTAGGTATGTTTTCAACTTTTTCTTGAAATTATATATGGAGTAGTGTTTAAATTCACTGGACAGACATACTGACTGAGTTCGATTCCTGAGGTAACTTTTCAATAGATCTACAGTTCCTTACTAAATCCGAGACTTGACATTTTCCTACACAGAATATTGTGGTCTAATGTATTGAATGTAATGTATTGACCCTTTTGAGTAGATCTGGATCGTCGTTGACGTCATTCAACAAATTCTGAGCGATGCTCATGCGACGGTTTTTTTGGTCAAAATTCAGCAATTATGGAACTGCTACAAGTTTATGCCCAAAAATTTACAGAAAAACTGCATGTCATGAGCCAACCGATATGCCAACATCATCAACAATTTCTCAAATAGTGATTGAAATTCCCCATAACAAATTTTTTCACTTAAATTTCACTTACATGGAACACTGTCATCCCCAATGGTGGGCATCCAATATTTCAGAAGTTGGATAACATAACAATCTGAAGCACCCAATTCACATAATTTTGTCACGAATCAGTTAATGGATGATATATGATTCGATTCCATTATGAACTGTATAGAAAAACATGTTTTTTTCAAAATGAATACTCATATAACAATGATTATTCAAAAATTATTTTTTCTTTCGTTGAACGTATTACTCAGGTACATTTGTGACAATTCAACTGAGACCTACTCGTAAAAGATTGACCGCAAGTTCAAGATCACTGTTTGTATAAGAGTTCAGCAGTTAATTCTAAATTCACCATAAATGTCCACTATGACTCATGACTATAACCACTTATTGACAATATACAGAATGTGACAAACAATTGAACCACATATTCTGGGGTCAAAAATAACTAGATTGGATATAACTCACCTCAATGTAAATCTGTTTTAAAATATGTTTTTCCGTTAATCAGCTGTCGCCCCCATATGAACGACAACTTTCAGAAGTTGAGAAATTGTTGTGAGCTAAGGACTAACGAGGACTTACCTTTTAACGTGTGATTCCTAACACGGTTGCTGAATCATCCCAGCTTCAACCAGATAAATTATCTCGAGGAAAATATCTGCTCGAGGCAGGAATCGAACCTACGGTCTTCCTATTGTGAGTCGGGCGCACTACCACCGCGGCCAATTCCACAAATGTGTACACAAAATAAGTTACTGCTCTCAGAAAGTACGAAATATCATTTTTTTTATTTCTCCATTAACTGTTTAATGTTCTGTAATGGAAATGCATCCATAGCTTTCTTATGGAGCAGCTTTTTTATATAGAACCACGAAATCTGTTAAGTCATAAACATTTTCCGATTGGAATACTTTTTCGTATAACGCCTTGCAACCATTGTCATTCACTTGTGACCACCAGAATTACAGATAATCATCTGAAACCTTGTTTTAACCTGACCAAACTCACCTGACCAGACGTAAATGCATATCTGCCATTTCTGCAAATACCTAAACTATTGTAAAAAAAAGTTTTTCAATTCATTATTTCAACACGCTTTTATTAGCTTCACCTGTATGTATGTATGTATGTTTGTAACTCTTCTTTCCCGTTTGAATGCTCGGGATCTGTGATTGACAGAATTATCAACATTATTGCTTGATCTATTCGCGGGCAGATGGCGATGTACCTAACCTCCTTCATATATCGACATAATTGCTTTATCTATTCGCGGGCAGATGGCGCTGCACGTAAACTCGTTGATATAATTCGAACTCACTTTACAAGTGTTTCTTCATTTGAGGAAAGTCTTTTTTATGAACACGTGCGCCTGCTGCTTTATTTGTAACACTACTTTGCGGGCCTGCTGCCTTCCTTGGACTTGGTAGCTGATTTTCAGGCTTCCTTTCCGGAATCGGAGAATATCAATGGTCATTTTTCTAAACTATATGCGGCTGACTGATCCCAAAGTTTAGATAAAATAAATGTAGTTTAAAAAGAAGAGAATTATCAACATTATTGCTTGATCTATTCGCGGGCAGATGGCGATGTACCTAACCTCCTTCATATATCGACATCATTGCTTTATCTATTCGCGGGCAGGGGGCGCTGCACGTAACCTCGTTGATATAATTCGAACTCACTTTACAAGTGTTTCTTCATTTGAGAAACCGTTTATTATTTATGCATGCAAACTACATTTGTTGAACAGCCAACTGATAAATTTTTAAAGTTTAATAAAAAACAGCTTACACGTCGATAAAAATTAGCTCTTTAAAAAGGTGCTACGTGACAAAAAAATTCAAAAATGAAGTAATGAACCAATGGTGGTATCACAATAATTTCAATGCATAGAAAAGTTTGCGGGGTTATAGGGGTTCAATGCCCCTTCAAAACGTTTTTGGGTTGAACAAATTTCGTGGTTTCATATAAAAAAGATGCTGGATTCATTTCCATTATATTTTCAATCGATTTTCATTATATACTTTTGAAGAGCTGTAATTTTTTTGTGTGCACAGTTGCATTAAGGTAAGTTATATCCAATCAAGTTATTGTGACCTCAGAATATGTTGTTCAATTTATGAACTAACTTTTTGTTAAACCCTGTTTATCCATAAAAGTTTAGAATACCGAACTGATGAATTAAAATAAATTAATTGATTCTAATTACTCAATTTGCATTCCTAAATAGGTGTTCTGTCAGGTACTAGAACAGACTGATAATGATCATTCAACGAAATATCTTAAAAGTTACAAAACTAGGTTTGTTTTTGTTTCAGCCATATTTCGAAGTTATCCATTTTTTTCAAGAGGGATAAATTTCTGACATCTCAACGAAACGAGCTCTATGGCCCTTTTGATTTCTTGGCAAACTTTGGTGGACTACTGGGGCTTTTCACAGGATTCTCCTTGTTATCAGCTGTGGAAATTTTTTATTTTCTAACTGTACGATTGTGGTGTAATTTTATGCTTGACAGTAATTTTTGAGAAAACTAGATTGATTGGAGTCAAAATACTCTGCACTACAACTATATCATATCATGACTACAAATTTCATCTTATCCTTTTTCGTGTTTTGACTATGTTTCGAAGATTTTTGTATAAATATTCTGAAATTGGTTTTATTTTCGAAATACATGAAAAAGTTGAATTTTTTTGTCTTTTCTGGTATTACCCATTTCTTCAAACTTCATGTACATGTAGCTCTGTATTTCAAAGATTTATTGGATTCGGGGTTTTGTCCAATAAGTAGTCGATATATAATAAATAGAGGGTTGGAGACAATATACTGAATGAGTGTAAAACATTTAAGGAGGTGAGTACTCATCGAAAAAAAGATAGGATCTTTCATATAAAGAAACTTCATTGAAGCATCCCTTGTTGAGTAACAGCCCCTTAAAGGGGGTACATAAAATTTGTATAACACTTTTTTTCACAAGCATTGAAAAAGTTACAATACTGAAATTAACCTGACGTTTTGTACTACCAAAAACACACTTAGCCAGTAATTTATTTGGTTTACTTCTTCGATTGACGACTTGTTTATTTTGTGGAAATNATCAGGTATATCAAATCATTTATGATAGAATAAGCAACATAGGTATAAATTACTCAGATTTAAATGTAATCAGTTAGTTTTGAAAATGGTGTAATAGCCGAAACCGGTCAACAATAAAGAAATATAGTGGAAAATAGACAAAAGTGTGTTTTTGTAGTGCATCTTCAGTTATTTGGTTTACCCCATGGTTGTAAGAGGTGGAAAACGCACCCCTTAAATTTATTTCCAATGTAACTTTTTGTCCTATTATTTGTTTACTATTTAAACATTCATTTCCGATAGCCTGTTTCATTCTAAACAATTTGTATTTTTTCTGTTTCATTCTAAACAATTTGTATTTTTTCTCAAATTTTTAATGAATTTCCAAAACATTTTCGAGTTCCTATTGATTTTATCTTCCATATTTTTGGAATACTCTAGAAAACCACGTCGAATGAGTTCCTTAGTTTTTGTTCTTATTACGGGGACATGTTTGTCAATAAGATCATAGATTGTCGAGTATAACTCATTTAGACACGTGTCAACGTCCCTTCCAGAAAATACTCCAGCCCAGTCCTTTCCACTGAGTTCAATGTTCAGAGCATCGTAGTTTGCTTTGGAAAAGTTACGGTATACATTGTGTTAGAAAGTCAATTTATGGAATTGTTTTTCCTTTGGTAGAATTTCAACCGCAGGGTGGTGGAGATCTTCATTTAATATTATATCTATAGATTTATCTACATATTGTACGTGATTTTGATTGCAAAAATGAGATCTAATATCCTACCATTATTGTTAGTGACACTATTATATTGTAATAATTCTAATGATAGAAGGGTATCAATTAGTTCAGAGTACCTTCTTTCGACATTTTTGGGTTCAAGATGGGACTCGTTATTCACTTTACTACTAATAAATGAATCTTCAATAACAATAATAATGATAGAGAACAAACAGGGAAATATTTCTTCTCCTACGTCTTCTACATACAGGTGACACCTTTTAATAACAGTGCCTGTACTCGTTGCAGATGGTAAGGGTGTAAGAGTTGTTCCTTTAAAATTCGAAATACCGTCATATAATCAGTATTTAGCTGGAAAGCAATCTTTCTAGTACTGGTAGTAGGTCTTATATGAAATTGAGTACTGCTTCCCCAAGCTGTGGTGTTCGTACTTCTCGATGGCGACCACAATCCTGCGTTCTTTTGTCCATACCATATTCTCGTAATCGTTGATGAAGTTGAGCAAATATTCTATGTGAAGGATGCTGCCGTTGAGGATACATTCCAGCATATCTTCTAGAAGCTTCTAACTCATTTCCCTGCGACAGACCGTAAACGTAATGCATATCAGACATGTCCTCATTTGTGTATGCAATTTTAATAACAAGTGAATTATTAAAGTAACAACAACAACAACACACAATTAGTATTAATTCAATTTCGAAAATTCACAAACTGACAGCGTCATACCAATTTAATTGGCACTATCGCTAATAGCGACCTACTAGATAGATTAGTTTCGTATGTATTTTCGCATTTATGACGATGTATCTCTGTAGTTGTTCCTAAAAGAATTTTTTGCTGTGAACTGGTTCATTTTGGGCAAAAAACCCAGGAGACATTTTTTGTTTAGAATGAAACAGGCTATTGGAAATTTTTAAATGGTAAACAAATAATAAGACAAAAAGTTACATTGGAGATAAATTTTAGTGGTTTCCACCCCTTACAATCATGGGATAAACCAAATGAATTTTTGGCAAAGTGTCTTTTTGGTAGTACAAAACGTCAGGTTGATTTCAATATCGTGACTTTTTTAGTGCTTGTGAAAAAAATTGTTATACAAATTTAATGTACCCCCTTTAAGGGGCTGCATCTTAACAAGGGATGCTCCAATGAAGTTTCTTTATATAAAAGAGTATTGAACTGACAGAGATAGACCTTTACGTAAATGAGCAGTTAAAAGTAACTGCCTGAATCTTAATTTATCCAAAATCTACTTTTCGATCAACTGCAATCAAACTCGATAATTATTCAACAGCTGTCTTAGGTGCACAGAGTAAAGGAAAATGCTCAAAACTATCCTCTGATTTCAGGAATGAACTGTAGATTTCAGTACTCGGGCCGCTCCAAAATATACCAACAATATCAGGGCTTCTACTCACGGGGTATCATCATTTTTGATGTTTTTTTCATATACTTCCTACGGCTCTCCGTTGGTACTTTCTAGAATGTCTCCTCATATCTCAAAGAATGACGTGTATGATCCAACTATAGCTTTCCCGAAGGATTTCTCCCATTACCAAGGATTTCTCCCATGCCTTGAAAGCTTTTTTCCACCACCAAAAAAATGAATAAAAGGTCTGACAGTGCTCGACGTGAATCTTTCATAGGCGATCTTATTATTTTTGTGATTTATTACTCAGGTAGATGAAGAGGTACTAGGTTATAAATCTAAAGCAAATGAACTTCAAACGTTCAATCCAGGCTCTATATACCTAGACAGTAGGTTTAATGGACTGACGCCTATCAGAAAACAACTACTCCCCTGGCTAATACCACGAAGGGCGTTGGATTATATCCGACAGGCGTCAGTGCAGGAATCTTCATAGAAAATTTCCTGCATATGCAATTGGCAATACAACTGAAAGAGTCGACTTTCAATTATGGAACGGGCACACTTGCAAACCGGTTTCGGGCTTATTAGCCACTCATCAGTGCAAGATAGTGACCATCATCGACCTAAAGTCAATGATATTTCACAATTGCAAATCGGAATTCTTTCAGAGTATTTCTCAGAGTATTTCTCAGTATTTCTCAGTATTTCCTCTTCCAAAGTTGGAGCGAACATCACAAAATGTCACTCCATCTAGTGGACGAGGTCAGATGGTAAGAGTACGGCTCTGCCGGACTCTAAAAATCTAACTCGGTCCCCAGCGGGGCAGGCATAAAGTATATGCTCTGTCAATGGCATAGTCGGTTAGTCAAGTTGCAAGAATCCCAACTTGATATCCACGATAACCTTTCCATATGAGGGTTTTTGCACGTCAGCCACACTTGACGATGCCTTAGATTCAACTGTGCAGGGTTTTTTCGCCTATGTTTTTGGTGAATCATCACTTGAGCGCAAACGTTTGCTAACCTGCTCATGGGGTGTTTGTTCCTCCACTTGAGACAGATTCTGCGTACGCCGCTCAAGGATTTGGTACAAGGCGGTTTCATAAGATACCGCGCTCTTGAGGGACGACTCAGTGATTTCCAGGCTGCACCACTAAAACTTTTCTCTAAGTTCAGTTATTGGTTCAGATGTTGGAGAGTTGAGAAGCTCTCGCTTCTGATCTAAATTTACAGGGGAAGTCAGTTGGAGTCGTAAGCTCGATATCCATCTCATCTGCAGACTATGCGTTTAAAAGAATTTTTGAGTTTACTCTGTTCATAAAAGTCCCACAAGTAGCTGGAGAAAAAAGATCAATGGCGGCAGAGCCCCGCGTTACCGTGACAAGGCGATGCTACGACAAGAAGGCGCCCGGTATCTCGAAAGTTCCATAGAGAGGGCAGATATGCTGAGTGTCATTCATCCTTTTGGCATGGATACACACACCTTAGGATTAAGCCATCGTTGGAATGCCATTCAGTTCGGTAATAACAGAACCACAAGTGATTCTGTTGTTACGTAATTTTTTTTTCTTATTACTTATTTATTCGATCATTAGTTCATAAGTGGGGTATTTCAGATATAAACAGGATAGGGTTATTTGCTCACAGCTGGCTTTTAGACAGCGAGAGGGGGGTGAGTTATACAAATGATTTACGTTCCGAGGGCACCAACAGATTTACTATTAACCCTATATAATGTAATAGCAAGCAGATCCAAATCTAATAATTATCCACGATACAATAATGTCCCAATAAAACTCAAAAACTGGAAAATGGATATATTGACATATTTCTACACAGGGTTTGGCAATGTGCGAGGGAACCCGTAACTAATAAATAATAGCCAATCACGGAGGGGGGTCGTGCACGACAGAGAAAACTGGACAGGGTGTTTGGGAAAAAGAAAACTACCCTTCCAATCTCCTGCACAACAAGGGGGAAAACTCATTTTGTAATTAGAAATTTGTGAAGAGGAATTTGACCGAAAGACATGATATTGGTAATGTGAAATGTGAAGGTATTGGTAAAAAAATAATATATATTCAATTCTCACTCGAAAGGAAAGTCTGCACTACTACTACTGCACTACTGCACGCCTGAAATTAAAATATTGTTAGATTCCTCGTATTATGGGATATATTGTTGTTCTGTGATGACACAAGGAATAATACTTGAAAACCCACCTCCGATTATCGAACCCTAATAATTCGAATACGTTTTCATATGCAGTTGGAAAAAAACTGATACAAATATCCTCCGAACAGATAAAAAACGGAATTCTTAACCTTCCAAATCAGCACTATTACGAATCCGTTTCTGTGAACATGCGAATTACAACCGCTTATAGCGTTTACGAAAATCCATAAGTTAAATTCACAGTTCTAGTATCATTGTCAATTTCCAA